AAAGTAATTCAAGTAAAAGTTATTTTCCTTGCATGTATGATTCATTCATAGGTATGTTTTATTCATTTGCCAGGAAAGGTAGGGCATAATGCAGAATTATTTTAAATTATTAAACTGTCTTAAAATGGAAAGTATTTTACAACTGTTATAATTTCTTTTTCAACATGCGATCAATAGTATACCACATAATTTTTATAATATTTTGTAGAGAAGTTTAAGATTGTGGTACAATTTAATGTGCTGCAGGATGCTTCAACTTGTTCTTCATTCGGAATATTCATTTTTTTTGAGTTCTTTAATTTCACGAATATTCCAAAAGTCACATTCATTTTCAGTAAAGTCACGAAAATAATGTTATTAGATTTATGTTCGGTAAGAGAAAGCAATAGGCCAATCTCATCCATTTCTAGTACCAAATACCATAAGATATATTCTCTAAAATTCAAACTAACGTAACATCACTTTTCACAGTGCACAGTGTGCAGGAGAAGGAAAAAACTAAAAACGAAAATCATGCAACTAATGATGCGATACTTTGAATTCTGGTAATAACTTTTCTGATAGTTGAAAAACATGATTTAGTGATTCGTAATCAATAAAAAACTCAATTTCGAATTTTTTTGATGATATGCGCCTTTGCATTTTAGGTGACGATACGGATTAATACACGCGTTAAAAAGTCAACCAAAAAGATTGTGTCAGTGATTTGTGTTATGCTTAATCTTGGCCTGATAGAGAGTTATCGTTGCCACCGTGGTATTCTGCTCTTGTGTCTCATGGGCTCGTAAACAGTATAGCTTCTTTTTATGACTAGGCATACAACCGAAATCTAACAAAAGACAAATTTTAGATCCTTCCAGCTGTTTAAGTGAGCAAAAAGTTTAAATTGTAAACCCAGTACTTCACTTACCAATAAATGATTGCCTTCATCCGTCGAACCTTTCCTGACGTCTTGATTACTCACTCAACTTGTTACTTGTTACGATATAAAAATATGATTACAAACTTAATATTTTACAATTTAGAACCTTTATGAGGGAATCTATTATTAATTTGTTATGCTCAATGTCTGGATAGAAATATTTTTTTGCTATAAAGCTCCTTCTGAGTGACTTTTTGTTTACTTATCGGTCAATATATATTTAATTATGCAAAATTTTGAACTCAGTAATATTTGGAACACAGAATCGAGCAATCACGAAAATTACGATTTGTGCAAAAAAAACGAATGCTTTTGTGAATTTTTCGTGTCGGCATAGTTAAATCCTCTTTATTAAAACTAATGGTACGTTAAAGTATGACATTAGATGAATGTTGTTAATGTATGTTGTTTTACGGAGATACATTAGAAAATAGGGCAATAGTAGCAATTACACGAACACTTCTCGAAAAAAAGTGAATAGCGGTGCCACTCATAAATTGGTTCTGAATAATCCGAACAAATCATGGTTCATTCGTTAGATAATAGTTTTCCAAAGGTAACGTAAAGGGGGTTTTTTTCGAAGTTACAATTTTAAATATTTTTGGAACGGAAAAACACAATTTTTTTGCAAAAAAATCGGTTAATTTGTTATTGTAAAATAAAAATTGTTAATAACTTTTAAAATAATTCTCCGGCGTTACCTCGTCAATTATGTTAAAAAATAGTGTTAAAAATTTCAAAAGTAGTGCAGTAGTTTTAATAAAAAAAAATATCCATATTAAAAAAAAATTGCAAAACCTTGGCTGTGGTCTACAGAAAAATTGTTATTTTTGTCAAGCTATTCGATCAAACAAACAAATTGCTGTATTTTACAAAATTCCACCTACTCGTGGTGGCGTTTTTATATGCCGCTTATTGACTTATCCTTCTGATGAATCGTCTTCTGTTATCCTGACCGTAATTTAGGATCGCAACGCCCATGACTAGAAACAGTAAAATTTTCATGGCTTCAATGCTCTATTGTACACGTCTTCGAATGTTCCTCTAGTGCGGTCACAAACGATATTTATACCATTATTGTGCTCTCCAACTCTGCATTTCGACTAGCATGCATTTTTTTATTCCAGGCTAACACACACTTGAGCAAATACTACAGAGCAGCACATGTATTAAAATGCTAATGAATAAATCTTGTAAAGAACATTATTGAGTCCGCAAAAAGTGAAAACCTTTACCTCATTTCTAGGCAAGTGAATAAAAAAATGGAAATATTATCAAAAGTTTAACTAAACTTAATTTATGTAAAAGAAAAAATGAGCCGTCTGAAATAGTTTCCTGCGAAAAATATTGCATAAGTTTCAATATTCGTTTATATTGACGTTTGGGTTATTTATTGAAAAGTAATAGAGAAGCAGGCATGATCCGATTATTCGTCTCCGGAAAGTGTAGTTTATGGGATATAATAAATTCCTATTTTTATAGGTGAATTTATTTTATAGGTGAATTTATTTGAAAAGTACTTATTTATTCATCAATATCTATTGTGTCCCCTTCAAAGTAATCCCCCTCGGATATAATACACTTGTGTCAACGCTTTTTCCAATCCTCGAAGCACTTCTGACATGCGTTTTTGGTATGGCAGCTCTTTCTTCGATTCTGATTTGATCCCATCTATTCTAGCAAAACACTTTACTTTCACTGCTTTCTTCAGTTTTGGGAATAGGAAAAAGTCGCAGGAACTAGTTATGACCCGTTTGAGCAAACCTGGACTGACTTCATTCAACTACTTCCGAGCGATACTAATGCGATATTGCTTTTGCTCAAAATTTAGTAATTTCGGAACAAACTTCGCTGGCACACGTTTCATGCCCAAAACATTCGAGAAAATTAAATGGCATGAGCCGATTGATATGCCAACATCCTCTGCAACTTTCTTAATAGTGATTCGACGTTATTGAAGAACAATTTTCTTCACTGTTTCGATATTTTCTTCGCTTGTTGACGTGGTCGCTCCTCCAGGATGCTCATCGTCATCAACATCTTCTCGGCCCTCTGTAAAGCGCTTGTACCACATAAAAAAACTTCTTTGAGATGAAGTGGACTCCCCGAATTCCGCAGTTAACATTTAAGTGCCTTGGAGCACTTTTTTCCATTTTTAACACAAAATTCAATACATATTCTTTGATCAATTTCTTTCAAAATTCAAAAATCGAAGAGCCCACAAAACTTGATTAACCTTTTCTGTTGTCAAAAACTTATCGAACTTTCATACTCTTATAACATGTTGCTACATAGTATAATAGTTTTGTTCAGCTAACGGTTCTTTGTATCACCTAAAAATAATCGAATTAGATACAGGGTTATAAGGTGCCCGATAAAATGATAAGGCCACTTTGAAGTTAGTACAATATAAGCAAACGGAAATTCCTTGAAAATGATAACCATATTACAAAAATTCTATATGTACTTGTATATATAAATGATTAGGATGATGAAACGAGTTGAAATCCGGATGCCATCTGTCTGTCCATCTGTCTGTCCATCTGTCCATGTAACTTGAGTAAAAATAGAGATATCGTAATGAAACCCAGTACACGTGTCCCTGGGCAAAAAATGAGGACCTTCTACGAAGAAGGGCCACAGGATAGTACAAAAGAGCTTTATACGAGCCAGGGTAAAGATAATGAAAAATGGATGATGGGCGTGGCACCGCCCACGTTTAGGTGAATATCTCCGGATCTACTTGACGAATTTCAACACAATTTTAAATGCCATCTGGTTCTTTCACTTCCAGTTCACAAATCAAGCACCAATGCATATGTCGCTATATAGCTTTGCACTAAAAGTGCCTTTGCCATCTCGAGTCTAATAATTGTCAAAATCGGATCTTACCACTTACCGAATATATGGACCCCAGTGCATATGGTTGACTTTTTTCCGAAATTACCGGTCAATCTCTGAGATATATTACTAAAATTTGGGGAAAAGGTTTCTTTGATAATAATATACCCTTTTAAGAGAATAGTTTCAATTGGGTCATAGACCCCATATACCTAATGTAAATATTTTCAAACTTCCAGTTCCGGTACCACGTATATCAGCCAACGTGGCAGTTATTTCAATAAAATTTAGAAAGCAACTTTTCTCCATATATATGCAATGTCCAAAATTAATGCAAACTTCCATTTTCCTGCCCGCCTTATACCCTATATAACGATTTCCGACTTTCGACCTGGCTTTAAGATTGAACAAAATGTGTTATATTTTAATAACGAACGATTTCGTCGAACAATGAAGTTGAACCTTTTGGCTACATTTTTATACCCTGAACAGAGTATATTAAGTTGCAACAAAGTTGGCAACACCCAGAAAACAACGTCGGATACCTTATAAAATATATAAATAAATAATCAGCATAACGAGCTGCGTCGATTTAGCCATGCCCGTCTGTCTGTATATACGTGAACTAGTCCTTCAGTATTTTAAATATCGATTTGAAATTTTGCACACGTCCTTTTCTCTACAAGAAGCTGCTCATCGGCCATACAAACTGAACGATCAGAATCAAATGCTTGTATGGAAAACGTTTTAATTTGAGGAGGTATCTTCACGAAATTTGACATGGGATATTGTCTAAGGTAATAATGCAATCTCTGAAGAAATGAACGATCGCATTAAAGTTCTTTTATTATTTTGGAATGTTTTGTATTTGTGAAGAGTATTATAGCTTCGGTGCAACCAAAGTAAACGTTTTTTATTGTTTTAATATAATTTATATACACCTGAAGGTATTTCCCCGACTTTGATCCTGGAAAGTTGCAAGAGTATAAAATGTTCGGTTACCCCCGGACTTAACTCTTCTTTGCTTGTTGTATATATATTTCACAATCCTTATATCCTTACAAGTTGCAAGACAATTCGAAGTACCGTTTGAATAATTTTTACTTAACTTTAACGAGTTAATGTTCGTCCGCGGCCTTTTTTTTACCCCTTTTCACATATTTTTACAAAGACTAGCTTTTTAAAAATGTTTGAAAAATTTTTACATTCTTCTAACAACTTAAATTTTGTTTTTCAGCGGATGTATTGGTAAACGATAATCCTGTACATTTAACCATCTGCGACACGGCAGGACAAGACACATTGGATAATCTGCGACAATTGTGCTATCCCGATAGCGATGTATTCGTTTTATGTTTCTCCGTTGTGAGACCAGAGACGTTTCATGCTGTTAAAACGAAGTGGGCACCAAAATTTTCCAAGTCAAAAGCTTCCCTTATACTCGTTGGAACACAGGCCGATTTGCGTAAGAATTCGAAGGTGTTGAAAAATTTGCAGGTTTGTTAACCGTCGGAAAATTTTGCACAAGTCTTGTTCACCTAACGGTTCCTTAATACAATAATGCATCTATTTTAAGTTACATATGTACATACATATATAACGAGCGGAATGCCTAGATGTTTGTTATTATATATTTGTATGTTTATTATTATATATCTATCTATCTTGCAACATGTTTCTACAAAGTATTGTATAATAGTTTTGTTCACCTAACGGTTGTTTGTATGTATAAATCAGGATGAAGAGACGAGTTGAAATCCGGGTGATTGTCTGTCCGTCCGTCTTTGCAAGCTGTAACTGTATATAAATTTAAAAATTGCGATATCTTGATGAAACGTGGTATACATGTTTTGTAGCACCATAACGATGGGGGTATTGTAAATGGGCGTAATAGGACTACTGCCACGGCCACAAAACGCCATTAATCGAAAATAAATAAATGGCCATAACTAAGCTCCATAACAAGATATAAAACTGTTATTTATTAACGAATCGCATTAGAGAGGGGCATCTGCAGTTCAAAAGTCGGCGTAGCCCTGCCGTCTAAGAGTTTTAATGTGATTATTTCCTAAACCAATAAAGCTTTAATAACCAAATTCTGAGGGAACAAATATTTTCCTTTACCGACATGTGAAAATGGGTAAAATCGGGTGATAACTCCGCCCACTCCTCATATAACGATTTTAAAGTAAAAGTACGATAACTCATTAAAAAACCCCATATACTTTTAATTGTACATATAATATGATGGTATAATTAAGTTTTATATGAGCCAGGACAAAAATTGGACAATGGGCGTGACCTTTAGGTGAAAACCAATATTTCGGGATCTACTTGACCGATAGTAACCAAATGGTAAGTGACATTATCCTGACTAGCCTATTAGGGTGGAGCCAAAAAAAATATTTTTTTTGCTTAGCCTGGGGGAAAAATCTGGAGATTATAAAAAGAAAACATTTTTGGACCAATAAAATAATTGTTTTTAATATCTAGAGGCGGCCCACACAGTTTTAAAGTAAATTTTCGAGTTAAAATTTTTATTTCGTAAAAAATTTTTGTGTTCTAACAGCTGTGGAGAGTCCTCTTTCTGGCCAATTAAAAGATATCAACTTAAAAAAATTTTTTGTGATCATTATTAGAGTTTTAAAGAAAAGTTTTAAACGACAACATGCTTTCCTTAAGCGTCAAAATAAATTTTGAATCAAAAACCGTCACATTCGGTAATTTTTATTTAAATGTAAAGAGTTTAAACCAAAACTAATTTTTTTTTGTCCAAACAAAATTTTAACTCGGAATTTACTTTAAAACTAAGTGGGCCGCCTCTAGATCTTAAACAATTTTTTTTTTATAATCTACAGATTTTACCCTCAGGCAAAGCAAAAAAAAAATTTTTTTCGCTCTACCCTAATGCCTATGTTACTAATTTGCGAAAGCAGATTAAAACCATGCCTACTTCCCATATAACACAAATTTAAATTCCATCTGATCTTTGGACTTTCCAGTATATAAATCAAGCACTAATGAATATATTGAAATTAAACGAGTGGCTTCATAACTGTCCCAATGTCCTCATCGGCTGAGTTGATATCACATGTATCACATTTGAAGATATTTTTATAAAATTTTAGCTGACGCGAAGTATAATACAAGGTGCGTTCCAAAGTAAACAGGACTTTTCAAAAAAGACAGAACAAATAATGTTATCGGCAAAATCAATTAATTTTATTCAAAATAGTCTCCTTCTGCTTTAATACAGATTTTTGCCCAGTCCAAAAGCATGTCGAACGAGTGTTTTTGCATTTTTCCGAAAAGGTGCACGGTGCCATATCAGGTGAATACGGGGAGTGGTTGATTGTTAAAATGTGATTTTTGGTCAAACAATCGGCCACATGCGTCGATCGATGAGACGGCGCATTATCGTGCAACAAACGCCAACTTCCATCTTCGCGATATTCGGGCCGAACAAGTCGAATACGGCGCACCAAACGCTTCAAAACTCCAAGGTAGAATACCGCATTAACGGTTTGGCCGGGTGGAATAAATTCTTTGTGGACAATACCCTTGGAACCATAAAAACAAATCAGCATTGTCTTCACTTTTGACTTCTCCAGGCGCGATTTTTTGGGTTTCGGCTCATTTCTCATGTATGTCCTCACGACCACTTTGAAAACGTTGAAACTACTCGTGAACTCTGCTACGGGATAGGCAATCATCGCCATAAACTTGTTTCATCAATTGAAACGTTTCGGTAAAAGTTTTACCAATTTTAAAACAAAATTTAATGTTGGCTCTTTGTTCGAAGCTCATTTTCGCACCGATGACAAAAACATACTGACAGTTAAAACTCAATAACTTCACTTCCAATAGATGAAATGTCATTAAATTTTTACTGGAAGTCGATAAAGGATAGCAGATTCTTACGCACTAGTCGACATATAGATGGCGCCAATATAGATTACTTTGTTACTTTTTCACTGTTTATTTTGGAACGCACCTTGTATAACAATAAAACTAAGTGAGCCTATGACCTATAATATAACTTAATAAATTACCAAATTTGATTGTAAGCCATTCAGGATTTCGTCGAATAATGAATGTTTTATTACTTCGCAACATATTTTAATATAAAGTTTTGCCAACATCTGAAGGTATTTAGCCGTCTCTGATCCTTGCAAGTTGCAAGAGTATAAAATCTTCGATTACATCCGAACATTACTTGTGTATATTGAAGTAGGTGGTTGAAAAAACTTAGTTGTGCAAAAGTAAAAGTTCTATTATCTCTTCATTCAGAGAATATGAAAACTAATAAAATTGCAAAAAAAAAGTTATTAAATATTTCAATACAAGAAAAATAGTCTAAATTAATGCTTATGTATGTTGATGTTGTTGTAGCAGCAGAATCCGGTCCGTTCCGCTTACGTAGACCCGACTATCGTGGGAACCGAATTCATATGTATATTTACTATTGGTTAAAAACAACTATGTACTATTTTATAACTACAATAATTTGTATAATTTTTTAATTTTTAGCTTAATGGCGAAAGTCCAATTTCACATTCAGATGCCTGGGATTTGGCTGCAAGCATAGGAGCGTCATACATTGAGACTTCATCAGCAACACAGGTTAGACGCTTTGTTTCATTTTCTGTTATATAAAATTTTGTTTAACATGTTAAAATTTCCGAGAGTATAATATAAATATTGATACATTTTTTTGGAATAAGCAATTCGCTGCCAACTTTTTCGCTAAAAAATTTAATAATTTTTAAAAGTCCTATATAAATTGTAAAAAGTTAAAATCTAATTATTCAAATCAATAGCACAGTATGACATTGACATTGACAGATTGTTGTATAAAATTAATAAATATGGCAACGGCAGCAATTATTCGAACGGAAAAAAGTGATTTGCGATGCCCATCATAACATGGTGCTGGATCATCCGAAGTCAAAAAATCATTTCTTAAGTAATGGTTTTTTTCAGGTAACGCCGAGAAGGGTTTTCGACGTTTAAATAAAAAAATTTTTTTTGAAACACTTTAAATGAAAAAGGGCAATATTTTGCGACTAAACCAGCAAATTTCTTATTGTGAAATAAAAACAAGAAAAAACGTTAACTTCGGTTGCGCCGAAGCTATAATACCCTTCACAAAAACAAAGGCCCCTTACAAGAACTTGATTCCGAACGTTCAATTTGTATGGCAGCTATATGATATAGTGATCTGATCTGACCAATTTCTGTGGAGAATAATTTGTTGCCTTAAGCAATAACTCGTGCCTAATTTCGTGAAGATACCTCGTCAAATAAAAAAATGTTCCATGCAAGCACTTTACTCCGATCGTTCAGTTAATATGAAAGCTATATGCTATAGTCACCCAATCTATACAATTTCTTCGAGGATTGGATTAATGCCTTAAATAATAATCCATGTCAAATTTCGTGAAGATACCTCGTCAAATGAAAGAGTTTCCCATACAAGCACTTCATTCCGATTGTTCAGTTTGTATGGCAGCTATATGCTATAGTCATCCGATCTGAATAATTTCTTTGGAGATTACATTGTTGCCTTAACTAATAATCCGTGCCAAATTTCGTGAAGATACCTCGTCAAATGAAAGAGTTTCCCATACAAACACTTGATTCCGATTGTTCAGTTTGTATGGCAGCTATATGCTATAGTCATCCGATCTGAATAATTTCTTTGGAGATTA